TTCGACTGCCAAAAAACGGTTATAACGAAGTTCACAAAGGCGAATAACTGCGTAGTTAACCGTTTACTACTATTATCAAAGACCTGGCGCGGAGATTGACAAAACGGTAATTACTTCAGCTCTTACCCCCCACAAAGTGAGCGAACGTTTACGTTCAGTTAGACTGGACGCCTGTAAGTCGCGTAAAATGTAACAGATCAGCCAAAGGCTTACTGTCCGCATTTCAGTATGGTGCCGCCAGAATGTCTGATCCCAGGCAGACTTATCTGAGCGATTCATGGCACAGAAACATCATTCATACGCCAAATGCGCTGGCCTACTCGTCTGCAGCCTTCCTGACAACATCTTTATGATGTTGGCAACACACCCAACGCCTTTATCACGTTTGAGCCCTGGATCGACTACCGTTAAGGTTGGAGCTCAGTCACGGGGCCCGGCCAGACCTCCGGGCGGCAACGGAAGGCGAGCCGTCGGCCGCGGCACTGGCCGGGCCGCCACCTGGCCGTCATCGGCGGACTCTGCTCACAGCCGAGGTGGACTCAGCTCACAGCCGAGGTGGACTCAGCTCGCAGCCGAGGTGGACTACGTTCACAGCCGAGGTGGACTCCGCTCACAGCCGAGGTGGACTCAGCTCACAGCCGAGGTGGACTCAGCTCACAGCCGACGTGGACTCAGCTCACAGCCGGGGTGGACTCCGCGCACAGCCGAGGTGGACTACGTTCACAGCCGAGGTGGACTCCGCGCACAGCCGAGGTGGACTACGTTCACAGCCGAGGTGGACTCAGCTCACAGCCGACGTGGACTCAGCTCACAGCCGGGGTGGACTCCGCGCACAGCCGAGGTGGACTACGTTCACAGCCGAGGTGGACTCCGCTCACAGCCGAGGTGGACTCAGCTCACCGCCGAGGCGGACTCAGCTGACAGCCGAGGTGGACTCCGCTCACAGCCGAGGTGGACCCCGCTCACAGCCGAGGTGGACTCCGCTCACAGCCGAGGTGGACTCAGCTGACAGCCGAGGTGGACCCCGCTCACAGCCGAGGTGGACTGGGCCGTCGCCAAAACAGTCATCGCCCGAGCGGTTCCGTCCGTCACTAAGCGCGGAGACGTCGCCGACGACGGCGGCGCTGCGGTGGAACGCGCATCGAGGCGGAAACCGGCGGCAGCACGCATCGTCTGAAGCGCAGCGGCGTGGGCGGGGCCGCAGGAGCCGTTCACGCTGTCCTCATCTGCGCGTCGCCTGAAGTGCAGCGGCGTGGGCGGGGCCGCAGGAGCCGTTCACGCTGTCCTCATCTGCGCGTCGCCTAAAGTGCAGCGGCGTGGGCGGGGCCGCAGGAGCCGTTCACGCTGTCCTCATCTGCGCGTCGCCTAAAGTGCAGCGGCGTGGGCGGGGCCGCAGGAGCCGTTCACGCTGTCCTCATCTGCGCGTCGCCTAAAGTGCAGCGGCGTGGGCGGGGCCGCAGGAGCCGTTCACGCTGTCCTCATCTGCGCGTCGCCTAAAGTGCAGCGGCGTGGGCGGGGCCGCAGGAGCCGTTCACGCTATCCTCATCTGCGCGTCGCCTAAAGTGCAGCGGCGTGGGCGGGGCCGCAGGAGCCGTTCACGCTGTCCTCATCTGCGCGTCGCCTGAAGTGCAGCGGTGCGGGCGGGGCCGCAGCCGCCGTTCACGCTCTCCTCATCTGCACGTCGCCCGGGGGCCACCTAAGCCAATCTTGCGGTGAATCAGGCGGCGGTAAAACGAGCTCAGCGCACTGGCGCGAATTGCCGGCGACGGAGGGTTGGGGACGGGGCGGCTGTCGCCGCTGGCGGACCCGAAGGCGGGAACCGGCTGCAGCCACGCTGCGGGAGCGCGGTGCATGGATGCCACGGCCTGCGACATGCATCCTGCACACTGCAGCGTGCTCAGTGACAGGCCCTCTCGGTGACAAGGGAGAGAGGCGGTTAGCAGAAGGCGGCGCTCAGCAGACGGCGTTCTGTCACGACAGGGGACGTCGCAACGGCGCCGCCTCCACGACGTGGCCGTCGTGACTCTAATGTTCGGGAGGAGTCCGGACGGGAAGCGACCCCAAAGCCAACCGGTTAAACGCAGCGCGATGCTGGCAGCGAGCGGACGCCTTCGGCGGGAACATTCCCAGAACCCTGACAAATACACTAAAGTTGCTTAATTTTGACTGCATGAGGCATGCAATTTCTAAACACGTCGGACACGGACGGCAACACCGACAACTCAGCAGCTCAAATAGATGAATTATGCCAACCCTTCCACCCGCCGCTGGGCTAGTTGCCGGGAGGTGCCCGCCCCGACGAACTTTGCAGGCTGACGGCGTTGCCAATGCTTCCAGCGGCCATGAGATCATCGCTGGCCACCCGGGCGGATGGGGGAAGGGGGAGGGGAGGGCAGAGGCGCAGTGGGCGGAACAGGTGGCATGGAGGTCGCTCACACGGCCCGCGTCTCCCCGCCGTCACCCCTTCCCCACCTGCGGGCCGCGGCATGACGACTAAGCGCCTGCAAAAACCGACGACCGGCTATTTCGGTTTGATGTGGGAGCGGCGGCCGGGCCGAGGCGACCACCGTGAGAATGAGCCGCAGGCGTGCGCGCCCGGCCGGCCGCTCCCAGCACATTCGACCGGCCGGCGCCGCATGGGTGCGACGCATGCCGCGGCTGCGGCGAGCCACCGCAGCTGCAGGCACGGCCAGGGCCGGCGAGCCGGAGCTGGGACCGGCGACGGGCGGCGGCGACGGGCGCGTTCCACCCGCTGCCCGCGCCACAAGCCCGTCATCGCGGCTGGGCACGTGTCGCCATACGGCCTACTTCACACCGCCACACTGGGGCACGGACTCACCGCAGTGCGCGCCGCCAGTGAGCTCTGTTTTGACAGTTTCGTGGCAGCCGCGGATCGCGCGTGACAAACAGCAACCGGCGCTGTTTGCCGCGAGGCCCGGCGGTGGTCAGTGGAGTATGTACCCGGCTCCGTCACGGGACGGGCAGCGGGCAGGGTTCGGCCGCTGCCGCTCCGCCCAGACCTGTCAGTCGGCAGCTGTCCACATCCATAACGTCATCTATTATCACTTGTATCTGCTCACAGCGTGGCAGTATGACAGCTGCGCGTCATCATCACACAGTCATCGGCACGTCATCGCGCCATCATGGGCCTGCTCATCCGTCATCACATTGTCCGCTCGGCCTCGGCGCGCCATCACACCGCAACGCACGGCGAGCGGAGCCCTCTGCGTGAGCACGCACAGCGGCCGTCTGAAACGGCCGCTCCTCCCTGCCAGGCCAACTGAGCGCGGCGCAACGGCCCGGGCTGGCCAGCACTGGTCCATAGATTTCGTGCCGTTCTTAGGTGAGGACGACACGCGCGCGAGGAGCGGCGGGGAGCGCGCCGTTCTGGCCGCAATGGGAAGCGCGCTGCTCTGACCACGGCGGGGGCGCGCCGCTCCAGTTGCGTCCCGTGGGAGGTCGCAGACTGCGTGACCAGCCGACTCTCGAGAGCGGCCTGGCCGCGCGAGGGGACCGACCGACCCTCCTCCAGAGAACACGCATGCGTGTTTACTTCGCCGACGGTCGCTTCGTCAATATTGGACGAGCGCGCAGCCCTATGTCGACATCGGGCCGGTTTCATTTACTTAAGCGATGGACAGAGGCGGGACTAGCTCCGCAGGAGACTGACTCTCTGCAGACGACGCATTTAGCACCTAACTTCGCACAACTCTAACGTAATGTGCGGACCGGCTGGGGACCAAATTATCCGACAGGACACCTAGTGGTGTGCAAATCACGAACACCGTCGATAACACCTAGCTGACGGCACTCACATGAGTTACGAGTGTCAAACAAAACGGCTCGACATTCGTGCGCAAAGGTTCGCCAGAAGCTGTGGGGTCACAGTCCGCTGCTGGGTTACAGTGACACTGACAAGCTAGACCGCTCCCAGGTGCGAGGAAGGCCGCAGAGCCGTCAGACCCGGACCAGAACAGTGGCGGCCCCGAAAGCAGGTCCGAACGTCGGACCTGGACCAGAACGGTGGCAGCCTCAGCAGCAGCCTAAGCGTCGCTCGGGTGTTCGAATCATCTCGTTCGGGGGCGCAGGGGCGGCTCCGTCCCCGTCTGAAGACGCAGGAAGCGGCTCCGTCCCCGTCCGGAGGCTCGGGAAGCTGCTCCGTCCCAGTCCGGGAGCGCAGGAGGCGGGTACGCCCCTATCCGGACACGGCTCCGTCCCGTCCGGCGGCGCAGTAGGCGGCCCCGTCCCGTCCGGGGGCACAGCAGGCGGCTCTGTTCCCGGCTTGTCGGCACGAGCGGTGAGGCTGGAGGGCTTGGCCGCAGCTCGGCTTTTCGCCCTTGGCGCGACCTTTCCCGGGGTGGCCAATGCCCAGAGTCGGCCAGATGATGCGGCGGCCGCGGCGGGCGTGGGCCGGCATTATGATGCCGCGGCCGGGCCATGCCGAGGGGATGGAAGCAGTCCGTGACACAACCGCCGGTCCAGATCAACCCGACCGGCCATCTGCGCTCCCCCCCCCCCCCTTGGAAGGGTGGGAGAGGGTCTCATCCCCCTCCCATCCAGCGGGGGAGGGAGACGAGGAACGGACAGAAGCCCTAGATGAGCGAGTCCCGTATAAAGGGGTGAGGGACGATAAATGCGTGCGGCGTGGAGAGGTGGCGGGGCGGGCAATACGCTGACAAAGCGTCCATGATGACCCTCATCCTACCGCGAGGGGCGGACTGAAAAGAGCAGACGAAGCGAACAACAGCAATTAAGCAGTCACCGGGATCCGAACTAAGCCACTGACGGTGGAGAAAAGAGGACAAAGACTTTGGTAAGAAATGCTTTGCTGATCCCAACGCTGCAAACAGATCATCAACGATGGCAGAAAACACGGTGCGACTCTGACGCCGCCGGCGGCCCAAGGGCAGCTACCCCAAGGCCGGCCGGGCGCCCCGCCGAAGACAACACGCGGTGCAGCCGGGCGGCGGCCGCGCCTCCACGACCAGAAACACCGTTACCTGCGAGAGCGGTGCTGAGCAGGCCGTCAGTCGCCGGAGCTAGTCATGCCGTCGCCGCTGCGCTAATCCCCACTTGCGACCACTTTCACACCGGCTGGCTGGCTGCGCCGCCTCGCACCGCCGCGGTGCGTGCGGTCCGCGCGCTACGCGCCGCACCTCACCCGCGCTCGGCACGCTCGAATGCCGTCGGCGTGCCGCCGGCCGGCCGACAGCTGCTGCGCGGTGCCGCTTGGTGACGTCACCCACCTGCCGACAGCCAATGGGAGGTGCGGCTCCTGCGCGGTGACGTCATCAGACGGCTGGCGACCAATGGTAGCGCGCGCCCGTCTTGCGGTGGCGTCACTACCGGTCTCCTGGCCTGGGGCAGACGGACAATTTATGGGCGTGGGGAGATGGGGTGAAAAAATCACCGCCGCCGCCCATTGATTGGTGTCGGGGTTGTGTGTGTCGGGCGCACAGTCAGGAGCGGCACTCTGTCGTGCGCCGCGGGCTCACCAGGGTGCCCGGCCACTCGGCTCATCGCTGCTTGCTCTGGCCTGACGGCGGGACCGCGGCGACGGGCTCGACGGCCGACCGTCATGTGGCGCGCCGCGACGGACGCTGCGTACGGTTCAGCGTGTGATGCAGCCGTTGGGGTCTTCTTAAGCCGTTTTCGCGTGTCACAATGATCCTGAGTTCCCACACACACGCCGTCGTTCCCTTGAGAAGGAAAAATCCCTGACCGGTGCACATCATGATCAGCTTAAGTCCGAGAAGAGCCTCACGGTATCTCCAATTTTGAATGCTGCTGTGCACGATCCATCCATTCACATGCACTCTGTTGACGTCACCGATCTCGTGCACTAGAGTCATCAGTGACGCAAAATCAAGAAATCGTACACAAATCAGCATCACACAATACCACTCCGGAGACCATTTACTGGTCGTGTACCAATTGAGATCGGCTCTGTCGGCCTCACGCGGACCGGTTTGTCCGGTCCTCGGATGGCGACTGACACCGGGCGCGTCCAAGGCGCATTGCGTGGCTCAGGATTACCAACTAACCAGTCGTTACCAAGGCAACCATTCCCGGCGGACGGCTGGCAGAGCGGGCGACCGCGGGAGCGGCTCTGGGTTCCTCCGGTCAACTGTGGTCCTCTGCCTCTGGTCATCCCGGACTGAACTCTGGTCCTTTGCCTCTGGTCAACCCGGATTAAACTCTGGTCCTTTGTCTCTGGTCAACCCGCAATGACCTTTGGTCCTGTGCCTCTGGTCGATTTGGACTGATCTCTGGTACTGTGCTCTGGCAACCTTTATGATCTATCCTTTTAACCCGCGCCCGGCCGGGAGACTGGGGCAATCGCGCCGGACCGGGGGGGGGGGGGGGGAGGAGGGGGCAGTTGATTTGTCCTCTGGGATCCCAAACTTCCAGACGCCGTATGAAATAAACATGAAGAATGCGGGGAATTCATTTTGACCATTTCTGTTCTCCCACGCGGGCCAAGCCAGACTAGGTCACCGGTCAAAATTGGTCTACCAGTAGCCTACAAGAACGGTACTTTTCTTATTTACACGCGTCGCACTCGTTCATCCAGTCTCTCTGCTACTGGCAGCATACGTCATTGACCTAAGATGACCTCATATGGCATTGCATGACCTGCTGCAACCTCAAAATGTAATATGATTTTATCTCGACACGTTTTCAGTGAAATGTTCAAATTTTGCAGCCAAAATTGCATACAAACTGCTTACTTTAAGCTTAGCATGTGTTTGCAGAAGGTATCCATAGAGGATAGATCATGATGTGGACCAATGTCATGCTATCTGTGTCCCTATGATGGTTGCGCATTCGAGGCAGTACTCTTTTCCTCATATACCTGCACAAAGATACGTACAATCATTTGGGAAAAATACCTTGCATTATTTAGGAAAGATAGCAACAGTTGAACTGACTTCGGGTCAATGACCTCGCATTTTCCTAAAACTATGAAAGACACAAACTGTAGATACTTTCATAATATATAATTATGCCAAGTTTGAACGATGGCAAATGCCTCACGAAAAAGTTATGTGTGTTAAAAGCTTTTTATAGGTTGGCCTCTTTTATCTGACTAAGGTCAATGATCTTGATAGATCAAGAGTCTCAAATGTTCAAAAATATGTCAAATTGATTGATGAACAGATAATGAAAATTTCATGAAGCTGTGAGTGTTCGTTTTTGACCTGTGCACACAACACCGCAAAGGGGAATTCAGCTTCCTCTCCAGGCAGGGCACCGCTTAAGGGACCCGGATCGACCTGGCTACCCCTCCCTTCTGCTGCCAGAATGATAGCGGTAGGCACTCCGCGCTGGTATGAGGGGCCCTTCAGTCCCTGACTGGGGAAGATGGCATGCCCCTAGTCTTCTAACCATGGGGCCCTTTGACCAGAAATGGTGAGGAGCTTTTTTAGGTTTCAAAAGGGTGAATCAAACTTAAGTCAAAATTAAAAAGCTAGTCCCCTTTGCCAGGGGACGTCATTCTTTTTCCGAATCGACCAGTGAAACAAATTTCATATAAATGTGTTGCGCCCACGCGCTTGCGACCGCAGGAGCAGGACCAATGATGGCCGGGATTGAAGTTTGCGTCAAATCGAGCGCCGCTGACGCTGCAGCCATATATCACTTTGTGACCGTCGTGAAATGATGTTTGCGGAAGTCTGATATGCATGCGTATATATATATATATATATATATATATATATATACGCAATTTTGAATTAAGAAGTCTCATATATTCATATGGTCCAAATACTTTGGTGGGACGTATATCGTAACTGTGTGATTTTTGAGCTGTACTTTTGAATAGATTAACAGTTACAGCAGTGCGAAGCACATGTTTTACGCTTACATACATTTACATAGATCTACCATCGGATTCCAGCACCATTCCACAGCACGATAAAATTTAATCTGTTTGCATTATCAGCCCCAAAATTGCGCAGGTGAAATATACGCTGATATACACACCGACTATAACACATACACACACACACGCACACACACACATGCACACACACACACACATATATATATATATATATATATATATATATATATATAAGCGTTATGCCGTATAAACTTTTGAGTTAACGCACCAAAGTCATTTAATTTTTTTTCTTCAAAGTATTGTATCGCCATCGCCCACTCTTTGGCCACCGGATAGTCTTACCCGCAAGGCCGACGTCGCCCTGCCTACGGAACCTGCAGCACTGGGAGTCCTTTTTCAAGTGTTTCCAGAACGCATGTTTGTAACTCTGTTATCTAAATTTATTTCCTGCCCAATGTTGAATGCAGATTGAGCATTCCCAGACCAACATGGGTTCACCGCCACGGACCACCACGTGGATACAAAATATCCTCGGGGGGGGGGGGGGGTTAATGCGTGCAGTCATTTCACGTTTGATTCGTGCAGTTTATTTATTTCATAATGCAAAGAAAATGCTGCCTTGGCCTGTGTATTCTGTTCCAGTCAAAGAAGGTGAACACAGAAGTAAAACGAAAAAAATATCTTACTCGCTGGAAATTAGGTAGGCCATATCAGGTGAATTTTGTCTTGGGTGGAGAGTAGGGATTGAGACCTTCCGCCATCAGAAGGCCTTTTGTTGTTAACCCTGTGCCTCACCCCCCCCCCCGTACCTAGTTTCTGGCTGCGCCCCTGGCGAAAATGTACGGAACAAAACAGGACGGTGAACAACGTACTGCGTACTGAGCGGCGTGCAAGCGGCATATGGCACACTGCTTTCGTTAATACGCTTTGATGTCCAACACTGTGGCCCAAACGAATGCTCCTTGCTCAGCCAACTAACCCCCGTGTTTCGACGCCCTGTGTCCGCACACCCCGTGGTCCACTTCCCCCCGCATCCCATCCCACCGAGGTCATAAATCGTTGACCGTTCGGCGGGCACGCCATTGTCCTCCTCGCCTGCCCTAGGTCCGCGGGGACTCGACTGCCACGCCCCCTTTGTCTCAGCCTCACTCACCGTAATTAGCCGGTGCCCGGTGCGCCCAGCGGCAGGCGCCGGCGGCACCCGAGCGTGGCGCCGGCGCCAGCTGCGCCGCTGGCGACGACAGCAGACGCCAGCAGAACACGGACGGGGCGCCGGCGCGGTTGCGCCCCCGCCGGCTGCGCTCTCGCCGGAACCGGCCGCGACGAATGTGGGGTGATTCGGGTAGGTCCGACCGGCGGTGTATCGCGACAGCCGCCGGCAGCGGGCGGAGGCGTGCGCTGCCGTTGGAACGATCGCTCTCAAATGAATCTACCATCGCGTGAGAGCAGAGAAGCACGAACTGCGCCGCAGTGGACTTACAGGCAGCCCGCAAGGAATGCGTCCAGTTTCCGATCCACGCCTTTGTCTGCGCCTGTCCTCCGCTATTTTAACGACAGCGATGGAATCCACCTAACGGAAAGAACACCGCCGGAAACCGATCAAAGTTTTACAAGGACCAAGGTCGCCAAGTTTTTGTCAGAATACGCATCATCCATTGTCCGCTGCAGATTTAGGGAATGAACGTCAAGCGTTTCCGCATATACGCCCAGTAAAAAACGCGGCGGACGCGCAGCTCGGTCGTCTGCCGCTGCGTCTGCCGCGTGACGGCTCTGATGTGACAGCCTCTTTCCGATTGGTGACCAGTGACAGGCCTGAATGTCCGGTGAGACACGCTTCAGACTGCTTTGTCCTCTGGCTCGGTGAGCTGCGCCGCCAGTCAGGCTCCGGGAGTGCAGGCGCTTCGGCCAAGCGCCTGATCGAAGACACTGAGACGATGCGGGGCGGAGTTATCACATATCATGCACCTGGTTGTATCTTCCGACAGAACATGGCACTTTCACTCCTTCCGCTCCTTCAGGTGCGACCACTCTCGACGCATTCACCACGCGTTATTACTCCCCATCCCCAACTAGGCGCTGTCATCCGCGGCACCCTCACCAGGCGCGGCAGCTGCCGGCAGGGGAGCACTGGCTCCTCCATGCTGCAGCTGATGTCGCCACTGCAATGATTCAGCATCAGGCGGCAGCAACTGAGATGTTGTGTCTGAAAACAAGTGGGCCGACGGAGAGCGTTGTCGTTAGGCGACGGGCAGCACGGCTTAGTGCGAGCATGCCCCGCGCCGCAGTCACGCCGCCCATTCAGCCACTGTTTACTG